GTTACAATACTAGCTTATTTGTACTGCATCGAAAGTTAAAACAAATCCCTTTACTAAACGAAATTACATTTTGGGCCTTCTGTTATTAGCCCAATATAAAATATCTCAGGTCGAAGGCGTTTTGATTCGTTTTAACGGCGCTCCAACTTCCACGTGCGGTCACGACGTATTACCAACAATTATCTCACGTCGGAATCAAACACCACCTCCTACTTCTTTCACTATTTCCACATTACACCCCTAATGTTTATAGCATTTTACAAATTTCGCCATATATCTTTATGATATACACAGACCCCTCTTTTCTTCTACAACCTCCCACATCAACACTTTACACATAGAGCACATGATCTTTCTCTTTGTCATACCATACACGAGTCTTCCAATTCTCTATAACAATTTTGGATTCGAATAAATTGACATTTTTAAAATCTATTACATGGTTTAAAAACGTGTGTTTGGTTTAAAATGTTGATGTGGGTTTTATTCTCACACACGCAAATATAAAGGTTGTTTGATGTAAATATCAACAAATATTGGGTAAAATTTACAGCTATTTCGATAAAACCAATGTGGGCCAAGAAGGATCACAAACGACCGAACATGAGAGAGAGTTAGTGAGTGATTGGATTTTTAATTTTTTTGCGAACTCTCTGTAATAGCATTTAGTACTGTTGACTCGTTCGAATTCAGGAACAGGTTTAAGAATCCGGCGAATATTCTCTCATTTTCCGGCGCCGATCTCGGTGAATCGTCAGTTTCTCGCGGCGGATTACATGGCGGTGGATTATACGTATCTGATGCAGTTTGTCGACGAAACGTCGTTTTACAATCGCATTGTTCTGAGTCATCTATTACCGGCGAATCTGTGGGAACCCTTACCGCATTTTCTTCAGACATGGCTCCGGAATTACCTCGCCGGAACTTTACTCTACTTCATCTCCGGCTTTCTATGGTGCTTCTACATCTATTACCTTAAACTTAATGTTTACCTCCCCAAAGGTGATTATAGTGATTTCCGTGTGATGGTTTCGATTTTGTTTTCTGAGTTAGTTTAGAATTTAGATAGTGGTCGCTTCAATGTTATTGTCTGATTGGTTTCTTGTCGATTTTTTTCAGTTCAAGGAAATGGGGTTTCTACTTTTCGTACTATACTTTAATGTTGACTTTAGTGTGTGATTAAGCGAATGCTGTTTTGTTTTGTTGACATTCGAGTGATAAAAATCTCATCTTTTCATTTATTGGTGAGTTTGGTTAGACATTGGTTTGGTAGTTTAGATTCTTAGTCATAATATGGCTTGAAACTGATGAACATTGTGGATCATTAGTTCTCTCTGTTAATGAGGTTTCTCTATAGATGAGACTCCTTAGCTTAGTTGTATTTGTCATATATGTTGCTTCATTACAATATTCTCCATCTTTGGAGTTTGAATGTTGTACTGTGTACTTCGCATTACACTTAAATTTGGTAGTTGAAGTGATAGTTTACATTGAATCTTGACTTTGACTGATATCAGGAATATGTTGTTGTTTTCTTCATGTTCTTTGAAACTTTTCTGGAAATCACAGTGTTTCTGTAAGAAATTTGTTGTTATTCCTTTTGATCTTCTAGGACCTCTAGGCCTTTGCCTTAGTATGAAATCTTTTTTGGTCTACTCTGTCTTCAGATGCCATTCCTACAAGAAAGGCGATGCTTTTGCAAATATATGTGGCAATGAAGGCAATGCCTTGGTACACTCTTCTTCCAACTGTCTCCGAGAGTATGATTGAACGTGGTTGGACCAAATGTTACTCTAGAGTAGGCGAATTCAGCTGGATCCTCTATTTTGTTTTCATTGCCATCTATCTTGTTTTTGTTGAGTTTGGGATTTATTGGATGCACAGAGAGCTTCATGACATTAAGCCTCTGTATAAGTATCTCCATGCAACCCATCATATCTACAACAAGCAGAATACTCTTTCTCCCTTTGCCGGTAAGTGTATTCAATTCTTATACTTGAATTCTGTGAAAGATCTTATACAATTTCTTATAATAGTCTACGTTGCTCGGATTGCATCTTGGTTCATCTAAGAATATGGCATTTAACTTCCTTTGTGTTTCGTTTCTCAGGGCTTGCATTTCACCCGCTAGACGGGATACTTCAAGCTGTACCGCATGTGGTAGCTCTCTTTATAGTGCCGATTCATTTCACAACACATTTAGGTCTTTTGTTCATGGAAGCGATATGGACAGCGAACATCCATGACTGCATCCACGGTAACATCTGGCCAGTAATGGGTGCAGGGTACCATACGATACATCACACCACATACAAGCATAACTATGGTCATTATACCATATGGATGGATTGGATGTTTGGGTCTCTTAGGGATCCTCTCTTAGAAGAAGATGACAACAAAGACAGCTCCAAGAAAGCAGAGTGACCATGCCCAATTTTCGTTCGTGCTTGTTCAAAGTTTCAAACTTTTCTCCTTTCTAGTTCTTCATGTGTCTCTCTCAAGCCTCAACATTTCCAATTATTTTGTTTAGAAACAGTGACCGCACATTTGCTGTCTAGTTTAGTTCAGGTAAATGTGTGTTCTTCGCAATATTCGAATTCTAAGTGTTGTGTGCATTGCCAATATCTCACCGTCTATTATTTGCAGGACGAAGTTCAAATTTGGAACTTGAGTCCCAAATTCTAGAGGATGTGGTTATGAGTAAAGGCCACTTATTTGTAGATTGTTGAAATTTCATTTCAGGTCCGGTTTTATAGTATTTGCGAACCAAGCCGTTTTAACCTCTCAAATACATACGTTTGGATTTATACGGTCTAAAATGAGTACAAGTGGTTTAATGGATTTAGTGAGCAGCTTTTTAGACATAGTGACCTACTATATAGTAATGATTTCTTTCTTGTTTAACAAGTCACCAGCATGTGACAATTGACGACATATTTGAGATAAATAGGATAACTGTAATAAATTCTTTTCAAATCCTGTAAATACTAATAAATGCTTTTGTATGTTTTTGATAAAAAATACTACTCAATAAATGTTGGGAAGAAGAGAAGGAACTTAGCTTATAAACCAACGAAACATGAGCACATATCACGAAGCTCCTCCTTCTTGCGATTTCTACGCAGAGATTCTCTCTCTCTCTTTAACGCATTATCAGAGTTTGACTTTTCCTCGCCAGAGATATGTCGGCGACGGGTTATGATTATCTTACCGAGTTCGTCGAGGAGACAACGTTTTACAACCGAATGGTTCTAAGTCATCTTTTGCCGGCGAATTATTGGGAACCATTACCACATTTCCTCCAAACATGGCTCCGGAATTACCTCGCCGGAAACCTACTTTACTTCATCTCCGCCTTCCTCTGGTGCTTCTACATCTATTACCTTAAACTCAACGTTTACTTCCCCAAAGGTCACACCTTTTTCTTTCTCACTGTTACTTCAGTTTTTGTCTTCAACTTCTCATTTGATGATTAGTCTTAACAAGGTCTCAATATTTTGTCTTTGGCTCTGAGGTTGAACTTTCTAGTTCTTGTTGAAATTTGTGCTCAAAATGTATATTCTTGTTGAACTTTTAGTTCTTGTTTTAGTTTTGAAATCTTTGATAATTTGCCTCAGATTCCATTCCTACAAGAAAGGCAATGATTCTTCAAATATATGTTGCAATGAAGGCTATGCCTTGGTACACTCTTCTTCCAGCTATCTCTGAGTATATGATCGAACATGGTTGGACCAAATGTTACTCAACACTCGACCAATTCAACTGGTTCCTCTGTTTTGTTTACATCGCGGTTTATCTTGTTTTAGTTGAGTTTATGGTTTATTGGGTTCACAAAGAGCTTCATGACATTAAATTTCTCTATAACCATCTCCATGTGACTCACCATATCTACAACAAGCAAAACACTCTCTCTCCATTTGCCGGTATGTCAAAAAGTCTCTTTGCATCCTATTTGCCTTGTGGTTTTATTGTATCTTAACTTCAAATTCAAGAATGTTGCAACTATCAATCAAACTAATAGGTCAGTCTCTAAACGTTTTTCGGGTTTTCAGGGCTCGCATTCCATCCGTTGGACGGGATACTTCAGGCTGTACCGCACGTGATAGCTCTGTTTATAGTGCCGATTCATCTCATTACACATTTGAGTCTTTTGTTTTTGGAAGGGATTTGGACCGCGAGCATCCATGATTGCATCCATGGTAACGTTTGGCCTATAATGGGTGCAGGATACCATACCATACACCATACAACATACAAGCATAACTATGGTCATTATACCATTTGGATGGATTGGATGTTTGGCTCCCTAAGGGTTCCCTTAGCAGAAGAAGACAGCTTCAACAAAAAGAAAGCAAAGTGACAATTGTGTTTCAAAGTTCACATTTTTTTTCCTTCATGTGTTGTTCTTCTCGTGACTCTTTAAACAATTATAATCACATTGTTGGCATTGGAAACATGACTGCACAATATGCTGCAAAGTTTCTGACTTTTCTTTTGATCTTTATTGTTACAAGTGTTGTGTGTATTTTGGAGAATCAGTCTCTCTAATAACCTTATAATTTCAAATTTAGATTTTCTGGAATTCAAATTAATTATGAAGAATGTGAAAGGATATATTACCATATTTATTTCAATGGTAGGTGAGGTTGCTCAAGATATGATTTAACATGTAAGAGGCAAAGTTTGTCTTTTTCACTTAAGGTAAGAACTCTAACAAGAAGTAATAATGAGGAAAAAAAATCAATCAAAGATTGAAAACATAACACATGAAGAAAAGTAAAGGATCTGAAATTTTACATAATTGCACCCAAACAATTCTTTCTATATTTATCATCAAATTCATCGAAACGCGTCCTGTCTCTTTCATCCGCCATGAAAATATGTAAAATACCTTTTTTTTTCTTTTGTTGCTAAAGCTTCAAAATAACCCAGAAGGCGAATCGATCAGAGTTTGGTAAACTTTCTTCTTTTTCAGTGTAAATTCTGCTTCTGTTTTTTATTGGACAAGAGAATAAAAGATCTTCTTTTGCATATCCATGGGGGGTTTCAAATAAAGGTCGTTCTTTTTCACATGGGTTTGGTTTATATTGCCACTCCCACTTGTTTAAGATTAGATTGTCCCACAAGAGTGTCACTGTTTTTCCCAATTACTGTGATGTCGAATTGGGTTTTTTACATCTACTCG